CCCCTATGGTATCGATAAAAAGCCACTCGTGCTATGCCCTGGACGACCGGTACGGATAGCGGCCGCGCTCAGGGACCACCCCCTAAGCACCCCCTATGGTGTCGGGAAAATGCCACTCCTGCTATGCCCTGGACGACCGGCACGGATAGCGGCCGCGCTCAGGGACCACCTCCTGCGCACCCCCTATGGTATCGAGAAAGTGCCACTCCTGCTATGCCCTGGACGACCGGCACGGATAGCGGCCGCGCTCACGGACCACCCCGCGCGCACCCCCCATGGTGTCGAAAAGGCCACGCCTGCTACGCCCTGGACGACCGGCACGGATAGCGGCCGCGCTCAGGGACCAACCCGTGCGCACCCCCCATGGTGTCGAGAAAGTGCCACTCCTGCAGCTATGCCATCGACGACCAGCTAGCGGCCGCGCTATGGGACCACCCCGTGTGCACCCCCCAAGTGCCACGCCTGCTACGCCATGGACGACCGACACGGATAGCGGCCACGCTCAAAGACCACCCCGTGTCGAGAAAGTGCCACTCCTGCTACGCCATGGACGACCGGCACGGGTAGCGGCCGCTCTCAGGGACCAACCCGTGCGCACCCCCCATGGTGTCGAGAAAGTGCCACTCCTGCTATGCCCTGGACGACCGGCACGGATAGCGGCCGCGCTCAGGGACCACCCCGTGCGCACCCCCCAAGTGCCACGCCTGCTACGCCCTGGACGACCGGCACGGATAGCGGCCGCGCTCAAGGACCACCCCCAACGCACTCCCTCTGGTGTCGAGAAAGTGCCACTCCTGCTATGCCCTGGACGACCGGCACGGATAGCGGCCGCGCTCAGGGACCACCCCGTGCGCAACCCCTGTGGTGTCGGGAAAGTGCCACGCCTGCTACGCCCTGGACGACCGGCACACGGATAGCGGCCACGCTCAGGGACCACCTCGTGCGCACCTCCGATGGTGTCGAACATGCCACGCCTGCTAGGCTTTGCGACAGTGTCGTAGCCATACACCGCGTTCAGGGACCGCTCCCAACGTACTCCATCTGGTGTCGAGAATGTGCCATGCCTGCCTTGCCCTGCGCATCCTACACGTGCGATGTGTGTATGGCGGGTGATGTGTATGTGTATAATGCGTGTGCGGCCGTATCGGGACGTGTGCCTCACGTGAGTGCCCAATGTGTTGTGCATACGTCTTGCGTGTATGATGCTATGAACACGCCAGGCGTGCACTAGCGTTGTATGGTGTATGTTGTGTGTGCGAGTGTGTGCATGCGTGCGGCTGCATGTAGACGCGTGTCTGATGCACGTGCAGTGCATGTGTTGCGTGTGGGTGAAGGGAAGAAGGACGAGGAGGAGGAGAAAAGGGGAGGCGGGAGGTGAGGAAGACGCGGGTGCGACGCGGGTGGGAAGAAAACAAGAACCCCACGAAAAACAGCGCCGTAGGACGAGGAGATGGGTGATGGGGGGCAGGATACCAAACATGGCGCGAGCGCACCCTTCCCCTCATCTATTCCCTGTCGCTTCTCCACCCCGCCCCCCCTCGCATCCCAAATTACAGTCCGCTCACCTCTCCCCCTCCTCCTTATCCTCCTCTCGTCGTCTTCACCCGTCTACCTCGTATTACCCTTCCCCCTCCTGCCCCCCCCTTCCTCCTTCACATCCCTCTACCCCTCATCTCGCCTCCCCTCCCCTGGTGAGGGAGGGCAGCTCGAGATCGCAGAGGCTTTGGGCTCTGCTCATCATGCCCTGTCTCTTCCTCATGTCCCTGCTTCTCTCGCATTCCCAGGATTCCCCTCATCGTTCCCCTCATGTTCCGCTTACCCCCTCATAGTCCCCTTACCTCCCCACCCCGCGTAACCCCGTATCCCCTATACACCGCTCCCCATACCCGCCTTTACCTCGCGTACATGACCATAATCATCATCATCATCATCATCATCATCATCATCATCATCATCATCATCATCATCAGCATCATCATCATCATCATCACCACCATCATCATCATCATCATCATCAGTATCATCATCATCATAATCGTCATCATCAACAACAACAGCATCAGCATCATGGGCATGATCATCATCATGGACATGATCATCATCATCAGCCTCATCATCATCATCATCAGCAGCATCAGCATCAGCATCTTCCGAATCACCACCGCCACCACCATCATCAACATCATCATCGTCATCGTCATCATCATCATCAACCTCATCATCATCCGCAGCAACATCATCATCATCATCATCAGCATCATCAGCATCATCATCATCATCATCATCATCATCCGCAGCAGCATCATCATCAGCAGCATCAGCATCAACAGCATCATCATCATCATCACCACCATCATCATCAGCAGCAGCAGCATCACCGTGATCAGCACCAGCATCAGCATCATCATCATCAGCAGCAGCAGCTGCATCATCATGAGCAGCAGCATCATCATCACCATGCTCATCAGCATCAGCATCATCATCACTACCACCACCATCATCATCGTCATCATCATCATGTTCATCATCATCATCAGCCGCAGCAGCAGAATCATCCTCGTGGTCTTCATCAGTATCATCATCATCAGCAGCATCGTCATCGTGGTCATCATCATTACCATCATGTATCATTACAATCGTCATCCCCATCATCAGCAGCATCAGCATAATCATCATCAGCATCGTCATCATAATCATCAGCATCATCGTCGTCATCATCAGCATCGCCACCCTCAACGTCACCACCATCACCTCAGTGACTGCATCAGAATCATCATCAGCATCAGCATCGTCAGCACCGTCATTATCGTCATCATCATCATAGCAACCACATGCCAATCATCATACGTATCAGCATCAGCATCATCATCACCATCATCATCGCCATCATCTTCACCATCACCCTCGTCATCACCCTCGTCATCCTTACCGTCGTCAACCTCATCAGCATCATCAGCAGAAGTGGCAGCAGGAACAACATCATCACCATCATCATCATCAGCATCGTCGTCGTCGTTCTAGTCGTCGTCGTCGTTCGTCGTCGTCGTTCTAGTCGTCGTCGTCGTCCGTCGTCGTCGTCGTCGTCGTCGTCGTCGTCCGTCGTCGTCGTCGTCGTCGTCGTCGTCGTCGTCGCCGCCGCCGTCGTCGTCGTCGTCGTCGCCGTTGCCGCCCCCGCCGCCGCCGCCTTCGTCGTCGTCGTCGTCAACGTCGTCGTCATCGTCTTCGTCGTCCTCGTCGCTACCATCGTCATCATCATCGTCATCAGCATCATCATCATCATCCTCATCCTGATCCCCATCGGCATCATCATCATCATTACCATCACCATCATCATCATCATCATCGTCATCACCCTTCCCACCTTCGTGATAAATCTACATCCGTCAGAGCCCGGTACTAAAGACTAATCTTACTCCGCCACCTAGCCAGTCGATTCGGGGCCATTTTGAGAGGGTCCATCCTACCTGCAAAAATTGTACGACAATCCACGTGGCTGCTCTCAACATGGACTGTATGGCATCGACGTTACAAAATGCGTGGCGGAAAATGCAGGGCGCACATCCCTCAAGCTAGGGCGAAACGTCGCTCTCCCCATCGGTGCCGCGCCCATCCTTCCTGAGAATTTAGTCCGCGTGGGCGTGGCGCACACGCTTCGCTCTCCAAGACGTCGACGCGCGAGCGGGCAAGCATGTGGCTCTCGCCTCGACGCCGCGAAGACTTCGCCTGAAAGTGAAGTTCCCGCCCTGGCGGGGCGCAATCGCTTCACTCTGCAGATTTGGGAGCTCCGCGCGAGCGGGCGCAGTGTCGCACTCAAGTTCGTGCACAGTTAGCGTGGGATTGGCATTCCCGCTCGGGCGCGGCGCGATGCTTGCTTGCCGAATCGCACGAAAGCTGAAAGCGGCAGCGGGGCGGCGCGAGAGCGGGCGAAGTGCTGGCGCCACGCAGTCTGCGCGTGAAAAGGGCACTGCTGGTTCGGCACGGCGCACGCTTCGTCGTCGCCGCCAGGGCTTTCTGAAGGTCCGCTCCCGCCCCTGCGCGGCCCGCTTACTTTTCCGGTCGCCAACTCCTCGAAAGCGGGACCGCGCGTGGCCGCCTTCCGTTCGCTTGGCGGGAATGTGTTCCAATCCGAATACCTACTTGTGCCACATCTGATTCTCATGTGATGGAAGAGGGTGGGAATTGACGAGGCTCGCTGACTCGTTCGACCCCTACCCCTCCTCCTCCTCGTCCTCCTCCTCATCCACCTCCTGTTCCTCCTCCTAGTCCTCCTCCTCCTGCTCGTCCTCCTCCTCCTCCTCGTCCTCCTCCTCATGCCCCTCCTCCTCCTCCATCTCCTCCTCCTGTTGCCCGTGGCATGTTGGCTTGCGCATCTGCAGACGCAGCCACCCCACCCCCCCAGGGGCGGTCGCCCCTGGGGGGGGGTGATCAGACTAATGAGCCGGGCGACTCCGGGACAGAAACCTTCGCTTCTGAAACCGCAAGCCAAGGTGAAAGAAGGTAACGAAACAGTAGACGAATCAGGAGGTGGGAGAGAGGAGGACCAGGCACCTCCTCCTCCTCCTCCTCATCATCATCATCATCAGAATCATCAGAATCATCAGAATCAGCATCATCATCATCATCATCATCATCATCATCGTCGTCATCGTCATCATCGTCATCATTATCATCATCAGCAGCATCATCGGCATCATTATAACAATCATCATCATCAGCAGCAGCATTATCAGCATCATCAGCAGCATCAGCATCATCGTCATCATCACCATCATCGTCATCATCATCAGCAGCAGCATCATCACCGTCATCAGAATCAGTATCATCAGCATCATCATCAGCATCATCAGCAGCATCAGCATCATCAGCAGCATCAGCATCATCATCAGAATCAGCATCAGCATCAGCATCACCAGCATCGTCATCATCATCATCACCATCATCAGCATCATCCCTCCTCTTCCTCCTCCTCTGCTCCCCATCTTCCTTGGAAAACCAGGCGC